ACTGGACCAGATAACCTTCCAGTCCTGTATCCCTCAGACACAGCAAATACCTGTTATTTCAGAAAACATCACAACCCTCTGAGGTACATGCATCTGATGATGCATCCTTTGTGTATCTCAGATTCCAGCAATCCTCTGCTCTTTCCTGAAACAAAGATGGTACATTTGCTAATAGTTATTAATGTTTTTTTCTTTCCCCATGAATTTGTCAAGCCTTTTGAATCCAGGAAAACTGTCCGTACCCGCAATATATTAAGAGGCTGACAAAAAAAAATGTCCACGTAGGAGAAGCTGCAGATATGCTATCCTCATCTGAGCCTGCCATCTGGTAGTTTGATTAAACATCCCAAACCTACACACTATGGAAAACAATGAATAATCATTCCTGACTCCTCCTCTTTGTCACTCTGTCCCACATTCTTATCATTTCAAATGGGAAGAGATAACAGAATGGATAAATTCCAACCTATTTAAGTAAGTTTCTGTGTGGAAATTATTCCACATCTTGATTTTCTTCGTGTTTCTCTGTGCCCTTTTTAGTTTTATTACCTGAACTGTTGTTGTTCCAGCTGCCATCATACACACCACAGACGATGGAAGGAAACTTGCACAAATGGGACTCCTCCTTATCCACCAGGCCTCCCAGAAGATCACTCAGGGAGATTTTGCCTCCTTTCTCCTTGACCCTTTACCTTCACAGAACCAGTCCTAATACACCGCTTGCCAGATAAAATAATTTGAACCACAGCAGAAAGGGTTTAAGACATTTATAAAAAATACTACTGTCATATTTACAGACCATTGTCTAAACATGAAACTTTCCAAATGACAGAAGTTGAGTTTCTGTAATCTAAAGTTCCATGTCTTCTTTCTGCAGCAGAAGACAGGGGGTCTCTCCTTTCCCTTATACCCTTCTTGCCCTCAGACAGCGGGAGTAAGGTCTGGATTCAGAAGGGCCTTCTTGCCCTCAAGACAGCGGGAGTAAGGTCTGGATTCAGACAGGAATAGACAAAACCCAAGCAATGCTGATTACTGAGTTATTCACCAGGGAGACTCTATGAATAATAGAAAAAAGAAGTCAGGAAAAGTGACTCCTGTTTACTCAGACACTCTGGCCACAGGATTTCCTTAGGAAAAGTTATCTGTGGTGAATGCTCTAGGGAGACTAGTGGGAAGAAAAGGTTATTTGTCTATTTAATAAATTAACTCTTGGACAAAATTTAACTACTCTATTTCCTCCACTCCTTTAAAAGCTTCTTGTATATTTGAGTCAGTTTCTCTTTGCAACCCTAGTGTTCTGGGTTCAAAAACAGGCTTCAAACTGGGAACTATCCCAGAGTGGGAGCCAAATCCCATGCTCCCAAAATCATTAGCTGATAAAGTTTACACATACCCCTACACTACCTGCTCCAGGTGGAGATGAAGAGTTTTGGACAAGAAATGAAAACAGTGCCAACAACAGCCTATTGCATGGGATTGTCTACTGGGAACAATGCTGAAACAAAGGTTCTTCTACAGGACTGCTCTCCCTTGCCCTCGCAGGTGGGAGGGCGAGGGGAATCACTGCACTGTGCTGAAATGACATGCTGTAGCAGGGCAAGGCCAAGGAATATATGACTAAGAGCCTGGAAAGCTACACAGCGGTTCTGTTAGATTATAAAGCGTGGATGTGAGTGTGAACAGGAAAGTGTACTGCACAGGATATGAGGTTTTGGGGTTATACTCTATACAAACTCAACACACAGATGCTAATACAGGAGGGAGCAAACATGCACACAGAACAGACAATGGACAGAGCCCAAGGAAGACTCACTTTGAGAAGCTGCTGTGCAACCCACACTCCACCAGCACTAGGCACTCCACAGGCTACACACCAGACACTGAGAGCTTCCTTCGAAAGGGCTATTGCTCAGAGACGGAAACGCACTAGACACCAGATCCCCAGACTGTTTCCTCCACCAAGAGGAGCTCCTTTTGCTATTTGGAGCAGCAAGTTTCTTGGACACTGCTTTAACCATACCAAATCATGGTCTTATTCTACAAATAATCCTCCTTCTGAGCGTCTCTCCCTGGGTATCAAGCTGCTCTCCAGCTGTCTATTCCAGGAATCAACCTCTCTGCAAAAGAATCTCACTACTGCAGCTTTAAGTGCCTTTCTATTGCAAAAAGCATTCATATCAATTTGTTCATTTGCTGCAATTGCCCTTCATTTATTTTCCATCCTACACATGTATGATCTTGATGTATTCAGAAAGCATTTATACCCCTGCCAGTCTAACTTAACAAACATTGAGATTTTCCCGTCCTTTTAGATGGACACTACTCTTGATATTCTAGTAGCTTCCTCCTCAACTTCTGCTATAACCTTGGCCCACCTCACTGCCTGGTACCAGCAGTGAGAATGGGCATTCATTACTTCTGAGATGCAGCTCCATATCAATGCACAAAATCACATGCACTGATTCATTGTCAGAAAGATACACCCGGAGGTGAACAAGTTGGTAGAAAGCTCTTGCCCTCTTTACATGGGCCTGGCTGAGCTTGGCTGAGAAGAAATATATTTGGCAGGCCAGAAAGCCAAATATCCCTAAGCACAAGCGATTTGGTGCCCTTTTGTGGCAGCTACTGGTATTACACATTTACATGAGACACCCCAGGTTTTCTGTTGCGGCTCTCAAGTTCCATTCCCTGCAAGGCAACAGTCCCAACTTCAATTCTTGTCATCTCTTCAGCACTTGCTCCTCATCTGTGAGCTGCCTGACGCTGGCTGCAGGAAAAAGGAGAAAAGAGAGTTTGCTTTGATTCCCCCCTTACAGTGAAAAGGGAACTGGCGAAACACATGGCCAGCTCCTTCCCTGCTGCTATCTGGAGCATTTCAGGCAGATGACTGGGAATAGGACCCACCTGCCAGCCCCCTCCTCCACCCTCTACCCTCACCACCTGAGCAAACCTGGCTCCAACCCCATTCTGTAGAATGGGAAGAAGCCTTTTAGGAACAAATCCAAGAATAACTAACTCTGCTCTATAATTGCTCTAGTAATAAAGTACTCTGCTGTACTATGGGTTAAATAACTTATCAAGCAAATGCAGAACAACCAGAAGGCAGTCACCGACAAATTACAGAGTATGAAACTACAGTCAGTATCCATGCCCTCAAGCACATCAATATTATACCTTAAAATTCAGGGAACAAATTAAGATTGCTAACTGGTTCTTGATAACCGTCAAAACAAGATGGTTTGAGCCAGACCACGGCAGGGACTACTCACAGTCACAAGCTCTTGCCAGGGATCTCTGGAGCAGGGAGACTTCCCACTTTGGCTCGTTTGTACAGCTCTTCAGTGCACAGCTCTTCTGCTCCCTCATGCTTGCGCTTTGGAGAAGCCTGGTCAGACTGTGGTGCTCTCATCACTGTATAGGAAGAAAAGTCATTGCAACATTTCCTCTGCTCTTGATCTCCTCACAACTCCCCTGAGTTTCTAATGTGCCACAGAGCTGAGGCAGGAGAATTGCACTTTATTAACACAAGGAAACACTGTCACAGCCTCCTTGAAGGTTCACTTTTTACAAATTTCATTCAAAACAGGATAACCAAGACTTCCAGAACACACCTGCACTTTATTAACACAAGGAAACATTGTCACAGCCTCCTTGAAGGTCCACTTTTTTTTACAAATTTCATTCAAAGCAGGATAACCAAGACTTCCAGAACACACCCAAAGCTATTCTCCTTTTCTGGGGAACAGCTTAATTACACCCAAGTAGGCCTACAGCGACCAGTACTTTTCCATTAAGTGGTTGCATAGGATCCCAAACTGGCAATTAAATACTCATGTTAGTGAATTCCTCCTCTGCAGCTCTCTTAGGAATGAAGGCTCACTGCAAAGTTCTGAAGAAAGCCTGAAGTAAGGTGAATGTGATCTGTTTTCATAGCTACACATCCTTTTCTCATTAGAAGAGAATTTTACTCTCCTGCCCATAGCCTCTAAGTCCCCGTGAAACTATATCTCAGACAAGTAGCTCCAACTCACCTGTACTCGTACTGCTACTCTGCCCTAAAGCTGGGTCTGCAACTTGGCCACTGAGATCTTCCACACAAGGGACTGATGCCAGTAAGCCTAAGGAAGGAAATCAGGAGGATCACGGTTGAGAAACAAGAAATTTGGTGGTATTAGGGAGACAGAACAAGAGCCCTTCCATTGAAATATCTAGTGATGGTCAGCGCTATCAGTACACAATCCATACATATATCTGACTCATTGGGGATATTGATGACTTCAGAGCTCTGCTCAGCCAGTGCTGGCCACAGGCACCATGATTTAGCAGCACATTCATTTAGGATGCCTTGCCTAGTTTTCCCAAAGGGAAGAATGGACCAGTGGTGGCACAGGGACTAAACAGGACCTTTACCACCAGCTCACAAAAGACTAATCAAATCCTGCTTTGAGCTGTCTAAAGACCCAGTTGAGTCTTTCCTTGGAAAGGCAGACTCCTTCCCCTTGCAAGGATTGGCCAGGGACATGGGTGCTATGTATTTCACATCATGATCCTACTCCCAGCATCCTGTTTGCTGGTGAAGGCAGTCTCACACAGATCTTAGCACTTACACAGTCCCCTGTAGCGTGACAGCTGCTGGTAGATCTGCTTCATGCGTTCAATGTTCAGCCGGCTGGTCTCTGCATGGTTCACCATGGGTTTGGGGTAGTCCACCCCAATGATGCACTTGGCTGCCTTCTGCACAGACTCTGGAGCATTCCAGGGTTCGTAGATATACCGTGAAGGGAAGCCCTTTAACTTGGGCAGATACCGCCTACGGCACAGGTAAAACGATGCACAACATCACTTAAAGAGCAGGGTTCACAACGCACAGGAAGTGCCATGCATCTACCAGCTAGTAACAACTTCAGCTTGGAGGTCAAGCCAGAAGGAAGCTCGGGTCACATTACTTACTTAACGTAGTCACCACTGGGGTCTGTGCGTCGCCCAAAGCCCACGGGGCAGTAACAGTGGAAGAACTGCTGGAAGAACGCACTGCACGAAAGCCACATCCAGCTGCCTGCATTCACGCTGAAATCCGCGTCCAGCAACAACTCATCAAATACCTGCAGCAATTGGAAGAAAAGGCAGTGAGAGCAGCCACGAGTTCCTCTGTGCTGGAGGAGGAACCAAGAAGCTATTTCAGATGGCAGGTGCCAAGCTGTCTGAGGACAGTGAGGAAGCAAAGAGCAACAAAGAGGTGACCTGCTGGCTGAAGCTGGTCAATAGATCCCGCTTCCTGACATTTTCGCATAGGGAGGCCCTGTCTGCTCACACCGATAAAATGCTGGTTAATGTCTCATGCAGCTAAAGACTAAACTACTGCTTAGTGTTACAGCAATCCTCGAGTATTGATCCTAACCTGGGAGACCTATGAAGTGCAAAGCATTGACCCTGGAAAGCTGAGAGATGCCGCATAGAAGAACAAGGATGAAAAAAGAAGGAAAATCATCTCTGAGGATCCCAGAGCTCAGCACCCGTGTCTTGGTAAGCACCAGGGTTCAGCAAATCCTAAAATATACTTCCAGATTTGTAAGACGATGTCTTTTTTTTTTTTTTTTTCCTTTTGGTATAGGTCTTAGGTATACTCAGTAGTTTTGAGCTGTCTGACCCTTGAAACATCCCAAAAGGTGGATCTTTTACCTCTTTCCGCGAGAGACTCTAGACTCAGATTTCAGTCATGGAGCCTTTCCTGACCGGCATGGTGATGGATTATACAGTGAGGAGAAAGATCCAGTTATAAAGAGCCATGGAACTTGCAAAGAAAATGGATGGGCTGAGAGCACTTTTATACAAACGTGTGCACACAACACACACACACGCACGCACAAACACACACACACATAAATCCCCCACCCTCAGGCCATATTTACTAGTGGATCCCACTGATTTTTACTTAGAGGTTACTGGAGACTCTTTACTTCCAGAACCCTCATGGCAGAGGGCAGCACGAAGTCAAGCTGCTGGCTGGCCAAGAGCCCACTAGCAAATCTTCCTCCACGCGACTTCTGCTTGTTAAGTGAAAGCCATACCTGTATTCCCATCCTTGCAGGGAGTGCCAGGGAGACTTTGTTTTCCTTACGGTCGCCTGCAAACCTCTAGAAATGAAAGACTCACCCTGACACCCGACTCCCAGCTGATCCAGAGGTCGCCCCTGGTTAGGAAGCAGGCCACGGCATGCCTGGCCAGATGGTGGATCCATCCTTCCTGCCTCAGCTGCGTCATGATTGCATCAATCCAAGGGAAGCCTGTCTTGCCCTCTGCCCACTTTGCCAAGGCTTCAGGGTTCCTGTCCCAGGGGATCTGGATGCAGATGGGGTTCCCTTCCATGCGATCAAACTTAGGATTGTTGGTGGCTGCGGTGTAAAAGAATTCCCTCCAGAGGAGCTGTCCATACAGGGAGAGGGGGGGTGTGCTGTTGCGCTTCACCTGCAGAGGGGACAACAAGAGGAGTCACACAGAGGGGACAGCGGTTTCACAAGGCAGAGCTGTAAGCCATCCACACATTCATACACGCGATTCCCACCAAGTTAGTTACAGGCAGCTGCCAGAGTGGAGTTCACTTTCAGTTCATACCTTACCAGAAACCCCAGCTTGTAACGTTAACTCATGAGTTTTAGCTCACTCAGTACAACAAAAGAGATCTGAACCACCAACAGCAACTAACAGTGAAAAGCTCCACACAGCTGATGATCTAGGAGTCCCAGCTGCCCAGCTGAAGAACAGGATCTAAGACAGTCTGCTCAACTACACATAGCAGCAATTTTGTCACCCAAGAACCTCTTCTGTAGCAGAAATAAGCTTTGCTCAAGGGTTGGACACAAAGTAGGCAACAGCAGCTCCTGCAGCTGTTCTGGCACACTCTTTGGGAGACAAAATCCTGCCGTGCGCAAACCCAGCCTGCTCTCCAGACGAACACTTCTGGATTTCCTTTTGTCTTACCTTCTTATACAGCTCCCAGAGACGATAATAAAATAAGCGGCAGGACAAGCAGCCGAAACGCAGGTAGGGACTCAGGCCTGTGGGGCTGGCCAGCAAAGAATTGGCATTCATCCTTGGTCGTTCGTAGTTTGCAACCCATGCCTAGACATATTCAGGAGAAACAAGGCAAAGAAAACCTGTCACACACTGCAATGAACAGGCCTCTTTGAAGGTGGTGAGGTCACTCAGGCCTCTTCTATTCATTTCCAGCCACTGCTTTGAGACATATGCAGTGGGCAATTCCAGCCCCCACATGCTAATTCAAGGAACACAAAACAGTTGCTCCACCAGGATTTGAGCCGGTTAGTCATTCTGGCCCAGAAAAGGGCTAAATTTGCATTGCATGCCTGGCTAATAACCCTGAGATCTTTTAGGGACACATGGTAATGCAATTGTTTATGTCCAATCCTGCCTATCTTGTGGGTGGAATGAGATAATCTAAGGAAGTTCAGAGCTCCTTGTTGTGCATTTGATGATGAAGGTTTGTTCCTTCTCCAATACCAGATTTCATACTTTGAGTTCTACACCAATCACCTAGCTCTCTGGTATTAAAAAGACACAAGCAGTTAAGGTTAAAGCCATACCTCTCCACAAAGAACACATTTCATTACTCTAATACTTTTTGCCTTACGCACACAGTATGATGGCAAAGACCACAGAAGGGATCTGCTATTTCAGCTAGGGGCTAACGGAATATCAATTAGTGAAATACGCCAAGACAGACGTGCAATAGGAAGGAATTCTTTTATGAGCACATACCCCTGCTAATACCTCCCACAGACAAGAGAAGATGGTATGCAATGCGAGGCACAGACCAAGCAAATTTATAGGAGATTCTCCAAGTCTGCATTCCTCTAAAGGAAATGAAAGGAGTGATAGAAAAGAGAGAGTCCCAGGTGCTTCTCACAGCAACATAATTAATACACAGCTCTACTTCTCTGGGTTTCGTGTAGCCCAGAAGGGGAGCTCCTGGCTCTACATACAACCAAGATCAAGTGTACTGCAACAGTATCAGAGCCCCCTCCTGCAGGGGAATGCTTTGCTGCTAGAAAAAAGCAAGAAAAGAGGATGACGGCCAATTCTAAACATTTTTAATTTAGGCTACTGCCTGAAGAAATGACCACTTAAATATCATGGATTACCTTTCTTTCCAAATGTTTATCCAGCCGTGCCAAGGCTTCTGTCTCCCCTCCTTGCCAAACTGCAGGGGCAAGGCCATCTGTGGGGAAACCTGAGGGAAAGAATTTGGTATGATTTGAAGACAATTCTAGACAAAAGAAACAAATGATATTCAAGCATGACAAACATTAAAACATGCTGAATATTATAGCATTTAGTTGAGCTGCCTAACATGGCAGACTTGCTGCTCTAGTCCTTCAACAGTAGGCATTTGGAGTATGGGGAAAACCTTTTTACACCACTGCAGAACAAGAGCCTGTTCCTCCCTGCAAGGCTTCAGGGGACTTCTGCCTTTTGGGGACTTCTTACCCCGTTGCTCCCACACTGGCACCCTTGTGAATTAGTGTTACCCACAGGGCTCTGCTCCAAGGGCCAGAAGGCTTGGCAGAGGGAACATCTGCCCCACAGTTTTGACTTACAAAATATCCAGCTACAAAATACCAGCAGCTCACTAAAGAGTCTGCTAAGGGCTCCAGTTCTTCTGACAGGAGGTGCTGGAATAGTGCCGAAGAGCTACATTTCATTAGTTTTCAGAACCAATGCACTGCTCTAGGCTCATAGTAGCAGGGCCTCCGCTGGAGGCAAGCAGAGCACTGTAAGTCTGCACGTATTAGGTCAGACATTAGGGAAAAATGATCTGCCAAGGACTGCAACCCTCCTGTTGTGAAGATCTCTTTCTCCGCGACTGCTTAAATTGTGCCTCAAGGTACCAAGGTGATACCCTCAAGAAACTGGTATCAAGCCTCCAGCATCACGGGCATGCAGGCAGTATTCTGCATTAACCCTTAATTTCCTTGCCTTTAAAATCATATCCCTGATATAGGCCTCACTGCACCACTCCCTTCAGCCTCCTTCTCCACAGGAAACAAATAAACCAAAAGCATCTAGGAAGGAGGAAGCAAACCCTGACTTCCCAAGAACTGAAAGGGCTAGCAGGATGGATCAAAGTAGTTTCAGTAGTATCTTTGGTCTCATTAAGCTCCCAAATTGGTGCTGCTTGGAAACAAGTGAGTGAAGTGATCTGAGTCTGGCACATGGTTAGCTCATCTCTTCAGGTCTATTATGAAACCTGCCAGGGACTGTAACAAGGAGCAAGCAGCTGGTGTGGACACGAGACACTGATAACAGTGGTTACACATTCTTAGCAGCAGGGAGGGCACTAGGACAGACGCAGAGCGTTTGAGAGCAATGCTAACAGAGATGTTGCCCTCAGTGACTGCAGTGCTAGGGGGAGCAGTCTGTTTTCACAGACTCCAACAGCCTCTAACAATCAAATGCTGCTTCCACAGCTAGGGGCAACCCGGGTCAGAGGAGAACACTGGAGCTGTCCTGGGTGCATGCCAGCCATCAGAAACACGTTTCAGTGGAGCCCGTTTCTGCTCGTATTTAACCCTTGCCTTCACTCTAACACATACCCAGCTCCTCCAGGGATGGGACTCCATACACGTCGTCATGGTTCTCCTGTATGTCCACTTTACACGTTTCCATCTGCTGACTTACTATGCTGCTCACCGGCTTCTTGGGGAGCTCCATACGGCTAATGATAGCCTGGAAGCGCTTGTAGGTGAGGGGTGGTTTGTGGCCATTCAGCTCAATTATTCTGGAGACAAAATAAATGAGATGACATTTACCACACAGCCTTGCTCCCACAGAAGAGACAAGGGAATAACAGTTAAACTGCATACAGCTCCCAATAGCCTTTCACTTCCAGTACAGAAATCCTGTACAGATCTGGGCTCCTCCTGACAAGTCCCTTGAAAGGAATTAAAAAAAAAAAAAAAAGGAAAAAAGAAAAACAAAACTTACTAATAAACAAACAAACACATTAATCCATCTCCATGAAAAATACAACACAGAAGCAGCTGAATCAGGCTTCACATCAGGTCTCTCCCAGAGTTCTCCACTTCTTTCCCCCGTAGGAAACCTCAATCTGGTTGCTCTGTGTCCCCAGAATGACAAATCCCACACCTGCACCTGCTCCTCTCCACCCTGAAGATATCCCAGCCTGTCTCTGTCCTGACTTCCTCCCCTCTCAACACAGCAAGTCCCACTGTTAGTGTCCCCTCCTCCACCCATCTCAGATGAGACAAATCCTAGTCTGCATCATTCCTCTCCCTCCTTGTGCTTAGAGAAATCCCCCTTCCTCCCCAGCGCTGTAAGGTCATGAGCACAGCAGACCCGTCAGGTCACGGCAGCAGGATGGTCACAATTCCCCTCTCCTCCACATCACTAAGTATCCACAACTTGCTGGGCCATGCAGCCTTATTTTCCTTGGGACACTGAGCAGAGAAGCCCCAGGGGGATCTCCTGGCTGAGGCAGGTTTCCCCATGATATTTTTATCTTGTGCTTCTGCGAGGAGGGGAAGGAGTTAACAGCAGAGCAGACAGCACGCATTACATAAAGCTGAGGCAGCCAAGCTCACAGCTCACACACGAGCTGCACCAGAGCAGCCTTCCCCACCCACTAGTCAACAGCTTACGCAAGGGCCTGAAGGCGGGCGAGCGTTCCAGCAGGCGCCATGTGCCTTCCCCTTCCCCCAGGGAGGCACGTGTAGCGAGGAGGAGCGACACGCCATGGCGGCCTTGCCGAGCCCTGCTCACGTGTGCTCCGTAGTGACCCAGCTTCCCCGCGCACCACGGCCAGCGGGGAGGGCGGCTCTGCCCTGCTCCGCACGTCGCTGCTGCTGCCGCCGCTGCCTCCACACGACCCCGGCACCCAACGCTGTGGGTGGAGAAGAAGGGAGACTTTAAAGGAGGCAGCACGGTTGCAAAGATTAAAGTGATTTCAAATGAAGCCTCCTGCAGTTTCTTCTAATTTTTCTACACAATAAGCTGCACACATTGGGAGAAAAAGACACTAATGAGCAGGGGAAGGACAGTGCAGGTTATACGGGTGTGCAGAGAACACGGAGATCAGTAAATTTAGTGTAAGACTAAATACGATTATGGTGTTTCTCAGCACCCTCTTCTTCCACTCTTTCAAGCTAAGATACCCAGGGGAGGCCCTTCTGACGCAACCTTCACACCAGAAGGCATCTCCTACACTTTCAGAGACGTGTGTTTTGGCTGGTTATCTCTGTGTACTATACCAAGAGACCTATACTATGAGACCATGAGCTCTCACGAATACTATCCACCAAAACTTTCCTGCTGCTTGCTTGAAAGACTGGGACCTCATACAAGACCATCAGTTCATAGGGATTGCTGAAAGATCACCATTCCTGCGGGAAGGAAAACGAGGCCTCTTCAGTTACAGCAAGCACCTGAGATAGGCTTGTGGGTTTTCAGCGGAGCTCAGTATCCCGAGAGGAAAACGTGACAGAACTGCAGTGTTTGTCCTGAGACACAGAAGGACAGGAGAAGCTGCTGCTTTAACACTACCTCCTTTTTCAGCCCTCTTCCGCAGATCTGTTATGCTGCACCTCACTCCAAGATACACAGTATTATGTCATGTCTGAGATTCACAGCTAAAGCTTTTGCAAACAGACAGTAATTGGATCGAATCTTCCAAACTGGAAGACTAACACAGAAGAGTAGAGCAGTTTTATTCATCACACAACACCTAACCTTTCTGTTATCAGTGAGCACATGTAAAATGGTGGTGCTACCAGATTAGTGATTTACTGCCCAGCATTATCTGACAGCACCCATATGTTTTTGATTATTCCACAGCCCTCAAGACAGAGGGCAACCAAAACCTGACCAAACACAGTTCTGGCACCACTAGGGCTATTCAGCATCCTGCAGTCATCCAGGACAGACACAGCATCTGCAGATTTCAAATCACACCCCCACAGGCACCAGTTTCTGACTCAAGCCTCTGTGGCAGTGCCCCAGTGGGATGATTAGCAGTCTGGAGAAAGCTGCTTTCCTCACAAACATGACACCTCAGCTTGCAAATGCCAGGGCTCCATTCTGTCAGGAGACTAAATGTGCTCCCACCCGCTTCTTCCTGCGCAGAAGAGCTGGCTGCCAACACTCAGCATTAGGCTGCTCCACACTGCACCACACTCCTGATTCACACACACTGTTCAGTTAGATCAGAACAATTGCATAAGCTAACAAAGGCTAAATCCTTTCTCCAGAGGGCTTGTGTAGGGCTGTGCACACATGAAACAAGCAGCTTTTCTTCAGATTCACAGAGGAGGTGGAGGATAACTGGCAGATATGCCACAAAACAGATACTGGGCACAGGTCGACTATTCCACTTCCAGCGAATCACACACACAGAGGTGAGTGAAAAACTGAGTGCCTTGATCACAGGCTAAGCATCAATGCAGGGAGAAAACACCTCATGCTAAATCACCATGCTAGACAGACAAGGGTAATGGGATTCAACAGATTGAAGTTAGAAACTTTTTAGATGGGAAATGAAACAGTTTTTGGTATGGGGTATCTATCTATTACAAAACTATCAGAGTATGCAAACTTCCCCCAAGCTTAGTTCATTTAAATCAGTACACACTCCTATTAAAAAGCATCTACTTATATTTTCAACCATATGCTAAAATGCTGGGTGTAAAACAGCTCCTGATGCATATTACAAAAGCAAGCCCACAGGGCTCCTTTCTGGCTTGAACTGCTCTGCCCAGCAGGACCCAAGCTGCCCAGGACCCGACGCTGACCACCAGCAATCAAACTACAGCAGATTGAAATCCTCAGGAAGGCAAACTGTGGAGATCCAGAAAAGGGGCAGAACAAGTTGTCAGCTGGATGTTGTCAGGCAGAGTAATTGTCAAATAAAGGCTTTGAGCAGGCTAAGCTGCTACCTACAAGATTATCTTTGCTGTCTCACTTCCACAATCTGAGCATAAGAGTACTTTCCATAGGGATATAGATAACATATATTTTGATGTGAAGGTTGGATAGTAAGCCTGTAAGGCAACATGCTTGATCTGACAAGCTTTTAGGAGAAATGCAGTATTAGAAATCTACTACCACAGTAACTGGAGACTTCCACATAGAGTGGGTAAATGTCACACTTCGAGGCCTGGCAACAACAATTTTCTAGATGCCATGAATGACTTACATGGAGCAATTAATCAAGAACCACAAGAAGGAGAAGCAATTCATAATTTCATCCTAGGCACTGGGCAGGATCTAGCTGAAAGTGTTATTTAATTACTGGCCTGCTCTAACCACACCTGTGGCTTACGTCGATTTAACATCCTTGCAGTGGTAACAAAAATATAATGGCTTTTATTTCAGGAAAGGATCTGCAGATAGCTAACAAAGCTCACTAAGGAGGAAAAAAGAGTCAAAAGGGTAAAACACTGACAAGCAACACAGAGATTATCTGAATATGTCATATGGGTGTGGGGAGCAGAGGGTGGTAGAAATCAATAAATGAACGTAAACTATCCAAAACGACTTCAGAAAAAAAAAATCACAAAAAATGAAGAACAATATCAGTGAGGACATAGAAGGCAGAATCATTCAGAAAGCTGAAATCCAAACAAAAACAGGGTGAGGGAGAAGAGGAAGTAATTGGTATGTTGAATGTGAAAACCACAAAAATCTTCCCTTGTGCACCTCTCCGCCTAGATAAAGGTTTGAGAAACAACATCGAAAAAGCAAAGGTGGTGAACATTCTCTTTTCAAACACTGCGGGATATTTAGAAAGCCAAGAGGTGATAAAGGCACAAAAGAAGCAGGCATCGCAGAAAAGCAGCACCCCTTTTATATATATGTGTATATATACACACACACACTACATACACACACACACATACACATACATGTGTGTGTATAGGTACACACACATATATACACACACACATACACATACATGTGTGTGTGTATAGGTACACACATATATACACACACACATACACCTGTAGCCCCTATGCTGATATCTCAGAAAATGCCAGACTGGGATGCTGATAGGTGATGCTACAGAATGAAGCTTTGCTTTAACAGTAAGAGCTTGCCAGGACCAGGGAGTATTCACCCAGGCCTTTTAAAGAACATCAAGAAATGACCAAACTACTACAGTTGCGTTTAACACTTTCTTCAAAGCCATCAAAATACTACCAAAAAACAGCAAGTATGACTCTAGGTTTAAAAAACCTTTCAGGAGCATCAGTGAGACCACAGAATAGAATGCCTGATATTTGTGTTAGGCAAACTGGTAGATAACAACACTAGAATCAGAGAACGTACAGATAAATGCAATACATTTTAGGGTCAGGGCAAGTTGGTGTCTTAAATATATATATATATATATATACACACACACACACACACATATATATAAGCCACCTTTGGACATGAGGCAAAGGAGAGTCAGTTGATGAACTCTAACTAGATTTTCAAAAGCCATCTGACAAGGGGGCCCACTGAAAATTCTTGAAGAAACCAAAGTGACTTGTGATGAAGGGAAAAATCCTTGCAGACAGAAGATTCTTGGTGAGCGACAGGAAAGAGTAGGAATGCATTTTTTCTAAGAGAAGGAGAAATCCCACACAGAGCTGAGTTAGGACCTGAGCATCTTGAAATTACTTCTATTTTACCAGGAAAGGGTCAACGAAGGGCAAGTTGATGAAGTTTACTTATATAAGCTACTCTGCAATAAAACAAAATGAAAGGCAACTGAAGAACTTACTTACATACCATGTGATCAACTGAGAAAAACAACACAAATTCATGTGTTGGTAATGTTGTTTCTCCATGTGCATTGCTTTGCAATCTTAACGTTACTTACATAGTAAACGGCTCTCAACTAGCTGTGGCCATTAAAGAAGCCCTGAAACATCAGTTGAATATTTAGCAGAGCTCAAAAGCAACAGAATGGTAGCAACTGGTAGAAAAAGACAGAAAACACCACAGCACTATATAAATCCATTGTGCTCCTACATCTTGAACAGCAACTACAGTTTTCACCTCTATTCTTCATCTCAAGAAACCGGGAATTATTAAGAAAAGTGACAAAGATTGGAAGAGATACATAACAGATTTCACCTGCAGAATGCAAGTAACCTACGATTTTCCAGCCTGGAAGAGACAAAGATGACACAAGGAAGTATGAGGGATATAGAAGAACTGAGGAAGAAGCAATGGTTCATGGTCTCTTCTAATGCAAAAATGGGAGAGCAATGTCCACTCAAGAGACTGGTTCAAAAAGAACCTCAAACATTCCCACACATCATGCGCTAAACTGCAAAAGCTACTTCCCACAGGACTTTATGGGTGCAACAGACTTACAGGAGGAAAGCTGCTTTTAACATTCTTGGCACAAATCAGCCGAAGGAAAACAAATAAACAAAACAAAACAAAAAAAAGCAACTTGTAAGAGTAGGACCGAAATATGGCTGAAGTATACTGCAAAGTCATAGCTGAAAAAAAGTTTAAGAATCAATGCAAGACTACTTACTGCACAGCAAACACATAACAAGAACAAGACATTCAAGTTTTAAAGTATGGTAAATTTCCTCCAGATAAGCTTATTCTATTTCTCAAAGCTGTACTGGCACATCCATCAATTGAAAAAAAAAAAAAGTGCCTTCATAACCTGTTTGAGACAACAACTTGACTATTTTTATCTTACTGAAGTGGAAAAAAGCAGTCTATGTAGAGAGAAAAAGTTCAGGGACAACAATCAGTAGGACACAGACAGCCAACTTAAATGACTGAAGTACAGAGTTTACTTAGCTTGAGGCAACACCTTTCCTTACGCTCACGTCACTGTCAGCACTCTGACGTGCTCTAATCCAAAGTGCGAGCGTGCAGAGTAATCTTGTCGACACTATCCAGGCGCACAGGGGATAACAGCGAGCAACGCACGGCTACCGACGCGCTGAGGAGGCTGAAAGCTTCCCAGACGCGACAATCCCGGCCTGGCCTGGGCAGCACCCCTGCCCTTGCTCCCCCCCGTACCTGTCCAGGTCGTACAGCGTGTGCGAGTTTTCTATCACCACCTCCACTCCGGCCTCCTTGGCCAGTTTGACAATAGCGGCGTCTCTCTCCTTTCCAAAAGGCTCCGAGTCATATTCAAAGGTGAGGCGGGTAACTCCCCATTCCTGCAAGAAACACAATACACAGCTGTCAAGCAGAAGATGGTCTCAGAAGGGTACATTTGCTAAAGAAGAAGGCAGAAAGTCCTTCCAGTCAATATTAAGTAATGGGAGTACAGATATAGTTCCTGTGAGGAAGAGCAGGTTGGACTCAAGATAATTGATGAATCAACAACTTTAGCAGCTCTTGCAAACACTGCATCTGCTATGCAAACTCCTTAAGTCAGGTTTAAAACACAGAGGGAGGTTTGAGTTCTTCTTCATAAACCCTCTTCCTAGGCTACAGCTCAGTCACTAAGCCTTAAAAGCATCTTGTTTTGCTACCCACATTGTCTGAAAGTGAACCTATCATCGGTTGCAGCATTTGCAGAAAAAGCATTTCAGGGAATTCTTTTCAATAAAAGTTCTGCTCAGGAAACTAATTATTATGTGGATACTATCATTGAGTAAAAAGAGTAAGCTCTGATTTTTCTGCCTGATGTCTCTAAAGCTGTCACATAATAGAGGATGAATACCCAACCCCATCAGCAAAGAACACGGCAATGCAAAATTCAGGATAAAGGATGGCTTGGATGGCTCAAAGAATGAGCAGACCTTTTTTCTCAGAACAGTAGAAGATGATACTACAGTTCTGATTTAAATTATTAACTTCCTAAAGGTGGGAATTTCTTTCATCCTTGTCAGGCTATGAACCTATTCTGTGTCTTGACACCCTTAATAGATCCTTTACAGATTACATGAAATAAGCCTTATGAAATAGCTTTCAGCCTCTTGCAGGCTTTTCCAGAGCACAGTTTGCTCTCAAAGTCTATGGCCTAGTTTTCCTCAGAAAATGAATCCTGTAAGAGGAGGCTAAATGGTTTCCACAGCGACCCTCCTGACACATCTGTCCAACAGAGCTGCAGCCTACAGTTATGTTTAGCATCAAACACAGCCCAAAATTCTGTATACACCTAAGGAAACAAAAACAAACACCATCATACAACTAAGATACAGTCACCTCTGTATGCATAGGACAGTCTCTTCCAGCTTAGAACCAGACCTGAGAGGCATCAGAAACACAAAAAGCATGCAAAGAACAGATCCAATTAGTTCATTGCAACACATTTTTAAAGAATGCCAAAGATAAGGAAGATAATTCAGAGGTAGAAAACCACTCTTTCAAGCCTCCTTTCCTTTCTAAACTCTTCCAGATTCAATATTACAATTACTATATGGAAGGAGAGAGAATGAAAACAGTTACGTACCACTGAACGTACATTTCTGAGATGTCCTCTACTCCTTTTCCAAAAGGAGAACATGACAGAACCCGTAAGTCAGGAGTTACACAAACATGATCTGGGGCCTGCTTTGCTCTCCTACTAAAATGTGATTTAACAGATTCATGTTAATCTTTTCCTTTAAAAAAATGATAGTACCAGCTAGAGTGCATGGAAGAGATGAGTTTCATCTTGAAGAACATACAGTACTGTCCATAGAGAAAGGAATGAAAACATACATTTAAGGCTAGTGGTGACATTTTCAGGATAAGAACATCAAATTCAGGTAGTTTGCTGCAGATTGCCTATAGTTTTGTAAAGCACAGCACTGTATATGCTGTGCTGATGTATATACTACACCAGTGCACAGGGAGCACAGCACAGCTGCCCAACTCTGCAGCAGTAACAGAGCACACACACTCCATCCATCCTCTTCCCTGGATCTGTGCCTGTAGTGCCTTTCTGGAACTGTTTCAACAACATGCCTCTGCTAACAGCAGCCCGGGCAGAAAGCAGGGGACACAGGACACTTTCAGGACCACATACTGTGCAGGTCTCCTCCCCACCAGGGAGGACAGCAGCAGGGCTGCTCCAAGGGCTGCCCTGCAGCCCGGGACGGCCATGAGACGTGCCAGGTCAGACAAGACTCAGCGTTCAAACTCTTCTCCTTCCCAAGTCCATGCTCTACTTGGCCAGAGTCTCTACAGCTATGTGTGAGGCTTTTCCAAGAACAGGCCCAATAAACCCTAAGTATAATCAGAGCGCTCTCTTTCCCGTTTGTGTGGCATCCACTATTCAACACGGCAGCTCTGTAGGGGCTTGAATTCCCATGACAGCCATACATTCTCACATTCTCCTTGTAGTAGCATAAAGAACATGCTCTTCAGCTCTGTTACAGCACATCTAAAACATCCATCAACTCTGCCTAATCAAAACAATCTTCTGAGAAAAGAGGTTCTGCATGACTCCACAATTATCTCTCAAAAAAGCAATAACAAAAAAGCCACCCTACAACCAATTCTGACAACTACTTTCTGTTCTTTGAACAGAATGCGTATTTTTCTCCTGCAGAGTTTTAATTATCCTGTCAATATCTACTCCTTGAACAAAAATAAGTAAAGGGCACAGACCACAAATAGCCAGAACTTATTTACAGATCGAAAGATAAAAATAATCCAGATTGTAGAAAGGCATAGTGCAGCATATAAACTATTTGTGTCCTGTGTTAACATGCAAGAGCCAAAATAGTGTTGCACTTTCTGACCTGCAACTGATTCCCTCCCAGTACTGTTCCCCTCCAAAGAAAATTGCACTATGACCATATACAGCAGGAGAGTTCAGATGCAGTACACCTCTCAGAAGCTGATCTACAGCAGCTTTGGGGACAACCTGTTCTATCAAACATAAGATATGGTACCATCTCAACCACAACAATTCAGCTCATATGAGTATGGTGATCCGTATTCTCTTCCTTCAGTTTTGTCACTCTAGCGAAGTGGCTGTCAGAAGGCTTCAAAGGCAAAAATGAACATAATTTGAGAACAAGGATAGAGAAGAATGAGTCAGAGACTTTCACTACTTGAGAAATTTTGGTATGCAAGGATAACTGTCCTCTGGTCAGCCGTCCCTCCCTCTCTCAGCCTGCAGCACTGCAGCTCTATATCACTTCAGAAATGTATCCCGCTAATCCATCTTTGGCCCTGAGGTCACTGCATCTTCCACAGTCCTAAAGAGCACATCTTCAAGACACCTGAACCAATTCTTTCTGCTACTGAGATGACCACAAAACAATAAAATAAAATAAAACAAAACAAAAAATGAATGGAAGCAGGAAAGGAAGAACAGTTAACACATAAACTTCTGAATTTTCAAATTATAGCACAGAGCCTTCTTTGCAGCTCACACGTAGATCAATATGCTTCCTTGGATGTCCGTAAAGATGTATAGACACGGCAGCCCTCTCGAGTAGAAGCAGCACACTGAAAACTTCCAGGACAGAAGGAACTCTCAGAAGAAGAGAATCAGTGGTTACGGTGCAGCCCAGTTAAACCTGGCTTGCAAAAACAAGGGCCACTGTCCCAAAAGCCAAGCTCAAGCATTCAGAGAGTAGGTTACTCTGTACTACTAAATTTCTGTGGAAATCTGAGCGCGAGAGCATATCTGGCTTCTAAGCTGGCCACTACAGATAGCAGTGAAGTTAAAGAGAAGCTGGCGGATCTCTAACAATTACCAGATATTAGGGAGTGAAAACAAGGACACCATTTACAGTAGGGCTTTAATTTTTTTTCCCTGACTATGTTCCAGAAAATTAGTTTATTCTCTTACTTTAAAGAGTCTTGGGAAGACATCTGTGGGCTGCCCTCGTACCACAAACAAACGGGAGCTGAGTTTCCTTAAACTGTTGTCCAGGTCTTCCAGCGACTGGAGTAGAAATCTGCAGAGAAGAAACAAGAGCAGTTCATATCAGTCAGACTTGTTCCAGCTAAAAGGCAAATAAGGAGGATTTACATGGAAATCCAATTAACCTGCACCACTAATCAACTCTCCAAACAACAGGTAAAGGACAAGAAATGCAGAAAATAAGGGTTCTTATTCATTCCTGGCTGCCTACTGGCTGTTAGCAGTTTGCTGCACTAGCCAGTCCCCAGCCATGCACATACATGCTCTGCTGGCTAAATGAGAGCACTCTCCAGGATTTTCTTGCAATCCCTACCCTTCCTATGTTCTTGCTGAGAGCTGATACTCCCTGTCAGCTGCTCCCTCCACATGACAACCATACTTAGAACGGTTGCAAGCAAAACTGCTATTTATCTTCCATCATGCAGACTGAGAGCATGCTAAGTTATTTATCTACTCCCTCTCACCCCAAAGCCATCAAAAAAGAGCATTTAAGTGCTTTATTAGTGTTTTACTGATTTCCTACCACGCTGTACAACTTCAGGCATATCCGCTTTGCTTCCACAGCCATACTGCAACGTAACCCCATCCACACTGGCTTCCTTTGTTTTTCCCAGAATGATGCCAACCTTAACTAAACTTTAATCCCTACAGGGGCATGTAGCAGTGCTTGCAAACCCAGAACCCTTCCTAATGGAGGCTGCAGCGTCCCCCTCTCCCCTACGCACCTGCTCTGCAGCCCGGTCCCTAAGACAGGAGCATCTGCAGCATCACCCCGGAGCAACACCCTTGCAACCTGGGCACCTCCTCCCCGTCCCACTGCATCGCTCATGATGCGAATTGCGAGGGTTGTGACAGAAAAGGCTCCATCTGCACATCTTGAAGGAGAAAGGGACTAAAATTTCAAGGACAAAAGGGCCAAGGGGCACAGTAGGGAAGACCCAGAACCATGTCTAGGTCATCAGAACAAACCACTTTCCTGCCCACTGCTCCGTATGCACCCACTAAATGGCAACACCACCTTTCTCTCCGGGGTGTTCTGGAGATTAGGCGAGTGTTGCTGTTACTCGGCTCACCCTCATGCAGCACTTTTATGTGTGATACATACAGTGATAAGTAATTTTCCAACATGATAAATTCCTGGATGTTAAACACTTGCCTGTGAAGCTCAGACCTCTGAATACCAATAGCTACAGAAAACAAAATTTAGCCAGACAAAGCCTGGGTTCTCCTGGGGAACAGTGCAGCCTCCGGTAAATATAAACAACGTGTATTTACTTGGCACGCTTTTGCCCAACAGCCAGGGGTGCTGCTTTCTGCTGCTATTTGCAAAAAGACTTCCTTCA